TCTGTTCACTCTAGAACCTTCACAGACATGTTATACATGCGTGCACACACACACACACACACACACACACACACACAAATGTAAAAGAAAATGTATCTTTTAAAAACAATGCTCTTTGCTTGCTTGGATAATGATGTAACTCAAACACATGCTTTTGGAAGTAAAGTGTTAATTTTCATTTTTTTCTCCTTTTTTTTAAATTAAGAGATTTTTCTATTTTTTATATATATATATATATATATATATATATATATATATATATATCTGTGATTCCCCTGTCCTCCCCCTTCCACTCCCCAGCCCTCCCCCACAACCCAAACCCCCCACTCGCACCTCCTCCAAGAGAAGGTCTCCTATTGGGAGTCAGCAGAGCCTGACACACTCAGTCAAGGCAGGTCAAAGCCCCTCCTCCCTGCACCAAGGCTGTGCAAATTGTCTCACCATAGGCACCAGGTTCCAAAAAGCTGACTCATACACTAGGGACAGGTCCCGCTCCCACTGCCTGGGGGCCCCCCAAACACTTCAGGCTAAACAGCTATCTTATTTATCCAGAGGGCCTTGTCCAGTACCATGGGGCCTCCTCAGCTATTGGTCCGCAGTTCCTGTGTGTCCACTAGTTTGGCTGGTTGTCTCTGCACTTTTTCCAGTCATGGTCTCCATACCTCTCATTCATAGAATCCCTCCTCTCTCCCATCTATTGGACTCCTGGAGCTCTGCCTGGGATCCAGCCGTGGAGCTCTGCATCTGCTTCCATCAGTCACTGGATGAGGGTTCTATCATGTCGTACAGTCAGGGTATTCAGCCATCTGATCACCAGAGCAGGTCAGCTCAGACACTCTCTCGACCATTGCCACTAGTCTATGGTGGAGTCATCTCTGTGGATTCCTGGGGTCCTCCCTAGCACTCTGTCTCTCCCAGTTCCCATGGTGTCTTCACTCACCATGGAATCTCTTTCCTTGCTCTCTCATTCCACTCCTGATCCAGCTTGAACCTCCCGCTCCCCTAAGCTTTCTTTCCCCGGACCCTTGCCCTCCATTACCGCCCTCACCCCCAGTCGGCTCCTGAAGCTCTCATTCATTTCTCCATCACTGGGTGATTGCTGCATCCCTCCCAGGGTCCTCCTTACCAGCCAGGCTCTCTGGAGCTGTGGGTTGCAGGCTGGTTATCCCTTGCTCCACATCTAGTATCCACTTATGAGTGAGTACATACCATGTTTGTCTTTCTGAGGGTGGGTTACCTCACTCAGGATGATATTATCTAGTTCCATCCATTTGCCTGCAAATTTAAAGATGTCATTGTTGTTGTTTTAACTGCTGAGTAGTACTCCATTGTGTATATGTACCATATTTTCTTAATCCATTCTTTGGTTGAGGGGCATCTAGGTTGTTTCCAGGTTCTGGATATTATGAATAATGCTGTTATGAACATAGTTGAGCATGTGTCCTTGTGGTATAGTTGAGAATTCCTTGTGTATATGCCCAAGAGTGATATAGCTGAGTCTTGAGGAAGACTGATTCCCAATTTTCTGAGAAGTCACCACACTGATTTCCAAAGTGGCTGTACAAGTTTGCACTCCCATCATCAGGGTTTACTTACTCCACATCCTCTCCAACAGAAGCTGTCATCAGTGTTTTTGATCAAAGCCATTCTGACAGGTGTAAGATGGTATCTCAGAGTTGTTTTGATTTGCATTTCCTTGCTGACTATGGATGTTGAGCAATTCCTTAAATGTCTTTCACCTGTTTGAGATTCTTCTGTTGAGAATTCTCTGTTAAGATCTGTAGCCCATTTTTTTTTAATTGGATTGTTCGGTATTTTGATATCTAGTTTCTTGAATTCTTTTTATATTTTGGAGATCAGCCATCTGTCAGATGTGGGGTTGGTGAAGATCTTTTCCCATTCTGTAGGCTGTCATTTTGTCTTATTTACCATGTCCTTTGCCTTACAAAAGCTTCTCAGTTTCAGAAGGTCCCATTTCTTAATTGTCTCTCTCAATGTCTGTGCTACTGGTGTTATATTTAGGAAGTGGTCTCCTGTGCCAATGTGTTCAAGACTACTTCTTACTTTCTCTTCTATTAGGTTCAGTGTAACTGGTTTTATATTGAGGTGTTTGATCCACTTGGAGTTCAGTTTTGTGCAAGATGAGAGATATGGATCTATTTGCAATCTTCTACATGTTGACATCCAGTTATACCAGAACCATTTGTTGAAGATGCTTTCTTTTTTTCCACTATACAGTTATAGTTTCTTTGTCAAAAAATCAGGTGTTCATAGGTGTGTGGGTTAATGTCAGGGTCTTCAATTCGATTCCATTGATCCACATATTGGTTTTTATGCCAATACCAAGCTGTGTTTTATTACTACATCTCCATAGTAGTGCTTGAGATCAGGGATGGTGATGCCTCCAGAGGTAGCTTTATTGTACAGGATTCTTTTAGCTATCCTGGGTTTTTTGTTTCTCCACATGAAGTTGAGTATTGTTCTTCCAGGTCTGTGAAGAATTGTTTTGGGATTTTGATGGGGATTGCACTGAATCTGTAGATTACTTTTGGTAAGATTTCCGTTTTCACTATGTTAATCCCACCTATCCATGAGCATGGGAGGTTTTTCCATTTTCTGATATCTTCTTCAATTTCTTTCTTCAGAGACTTAAAGTTCTTATTATACAGGTCTTTTACTAGATTAGTTAGAGTTACCCCAAGGTATTTTATACTATTTGTGGCTATTGTAAAGGTAATGTTTCTCTGATTTCTTTCTCAGCCCATTTATCATTTGTGTATAGGAGAGCTACTGATTTTTGTGTGTGTGTTAATCTTGTATCCTGCCACATTATTGTTGGTTTTTATCAGCTGTAGTCCCTGGCAGAATTTTTGGGGTTACTTTTGTATACTATCATACCACTGCAAATAGTGAAAGTTTGACTTCTTCTTTTCTAATGTGTATCCCTTTGATTTCCTTTTGTTGTGTTATTGCTAAGTTAGGACTTAAGAGTACTATATTGAATAGATATGGGGAGAGTGGACAGCCTTGTCTTGTTCCTGATTTTAGTGGAATCACTTTGAGTGTCTCTCCATTTAATTTGATGTTCACTATTAGCTTGCTGTAAATTGCCTTTACTATGTTTAGGTATGTTCCTTGTATTTCTGATCTCTCCAAGACCTTTTTCATGAAGGGGTGTTGGATATTGTCAAATGCTTTTTCAGCATCTAATGAGATGATCATGTGTTTTTTTTTCTTTCAGTTTGTTTATATGGTGTTTTATACTGACAGATTTTCCTATGCTGAGCCATCCTTGCATCTCTGGGATGTAGCCTACTTGGTCATGGTGGATAATTTCTTTGATGTGTTCTTGGATTTGGTTTGCCATTATTTTATTGAGTATTTTTGCATCAATGTTCATGAGATAGGTTGGTCTGTAATTCCCTTTCTTTGTTGCATCTTTGTGTGGTTTGGGTGTCAGGGTAACTGTAGCCTCATAAAAAGTTTGGCAATGTTCCTTCTGTTTCTATTGTGTGGAACACTTTGTAGAATATTGGTATTAGCTTTTCTTTGAAATTCTGATAGAATTCTGCACTGAAACCACCTGGTCCTGGGCTTTTTTTGGTTAGGAGAATTTTAATGACTGTTTCTATTTCCTTAGGGGTTATTGGTTGATTTAAATTGTTTATAGGGTCTTGATTTAATTTTAGTAAGGTGTACCTATCCAGAAAATTTTCCATTTCTTTTAGTTTTTCCAATTTTGTGGAGCACAGGTTTTTGAAGTTTGACCTGATGGTTCTCTGTATTTCCTCATTGTCTCTTGTTATGTCTTCCTTTTTCATTTCTGATTTTGTTACTTTAGATATTCTTTCTCTGCCTTTTGGTTATTTTGGATAATGGTTCCTCAATCTTGTTGATTTTCTCAAAGAACCAACTCTTTGTTTCATTGATTCTTTGTATTGCTCTTTTTGTTTCTATTTTATTGATTTCAGCCTTCAATTTGGTTGTTTCCTGGCATCTATTCCTCCTGGGTGAGTTTGCTTCATTTTGTTCTAGAGCTTTTAGCTGTGCCGTTAAGTTGCTAGTGTGAGATTTTTCAACTTCTTCATGTGGTCATTTAGTGCTATGAATTTTCCTCTTAGCACTGCTTTTAATAGACCCCAGACCCAGGGTACTACCTTCTCAGGTGGGTGCCCCAAGAACCCAGACTCTAGTCCAGTTGATACAAACAGCAAGAGGTTTATTGATGCAGCTGTACAGTCGGGCTCCTCTTGTCCTGAGAGTAAGAGTTGCGCCTACTGCAGCCACATGGGTATTTTTAAAGGAAAAAAACCCACAAAAGTCATAAGATTACAATTTCCATACAATTTCGTTTCAATTGATTTATGCCTAGAGGCTAATTTCACAAGATCATGGCCTGATCACAGGGTGGGTACAATCACATCCGTCCGCATGCACATTCTTCCTGAAACCTCAAGGGAGGTATCAGGGTGGGAGTGAAGGTTACAAAGGTTACAGAGGTCTTTCTGGAACACTTGCAATTATCCCAGTCACAGTTGAGCGCATCTCATCTCTTAACAGAGATCTCTTTACATTGTTACATTGTGGCAGGGGTGGTTGAGTAAAGGCTGAGTCAGTTTTCCCTTGGAACTAGCTTTTTAGTTCCTCATTCTCCTGGGTCTTGGGGGTGTGTAAGCCTGAAGGGTTAGTGTCTTTCATTCCTCCATTTTCTTTTGGCAAATTTTAATCTTAAAATTATGGTATCCTATATTTCAGTAACTTTTAAAGCTTGGTATTGTTGAGTTAAAACAAGGAAGGGCCTGTACAACAGATAATCTCTCCCGTATAAATTGCAGTAACATATTTAAAATGCATGGGCCAAAGGTTAAAAGCAGGAGTAAAATAAGCAGGGGTCCCATAATTGTAGATACCAGGGTCATCATTCATGGGGACCTATTAAACCATCCTTCAAACCAGCCTTGTGAGGCTTCCCGATCTCTCTGTCTTTTATCCAGTCTAGCTCAGAGCTTTTTCATGGAGTCCTCCTTGGCCTCAGCAGGTGCCGACTTGATGTGGGAGGCGTGGATCCAGGCAGCAATTCCGTCAACCTTGACGGCTGTTGGGGTGGTCAGCAACACGGTGTAAGGTCCCTTCCAGCGAGGTTCCAGGGTCTTAGTCTGATGTCGGCGGACGTAGACAGAGTCTCCAATCTGGAAGGGATGCTGCACACTAGGTGGTTTGGACTGGTACACAGCTGCCAGCGGTTTCCAGACTTTGTCCTTGATGAGTTGTAGGGCCTTCAGTCACGCCTGGAGACTGGGGGATGTAGCAAAGGAGTCTATGTCAGGCCCTAACAGGTCTGCTATTGGGGGAGGGCCCCCGTAGAGGATTTCATAGGGGGTTAAACCAAAGAAAGCAGGAGTGTTCCGAACCCAGAACAGGGCCATGGGGAGGAGTTCGACCCAGTCTCTAGTGCCAATCTCCACTGCTAATTTAGTGAGGGTCTCTTTGAGGGTTCTATTGGTACGTTCTACCTGTCCTGAACTTTGGGGTCTATATGTGCTTCCAATTCAGCCCCAATATCCTGGCCACCAACTGACTTACCTGGGAAACAAAGGCAGGGCCGTTTTCTGACCCTATTACCTTGGGCAGGCCAAAACGGGGAAAAATCTCTTCTAAGATCTTCTTGACCACCACCTGTGCCATTCCCCACCCCCTTAGGGAAAGCTTCCACCCACGCAGAGAAGGTGTCTTCGGCTGTCTTCAAGGCTTGCCCTCCATTCCCCCTGATGTAGGAAGCTGCTTTCATCAGGTGCAGTCTGAATTCAGAAGCAGCTGGTCCGTCAGGTCTTCCTGAGGGCCATGGGTTTCAGCCAGCACTAGGTGGCAGTCGTGCTCTACTGCAGTTTCCTTCCCTTTGCTATCCCTCTTCGTTCATCCACATATAGGGTGAATGGCTTTTTTTATGTCTGGGAGGCCCTTCTTGATGTTATCAAAGGCTTGCTGCTCCTTCTCGCCCCAGGTGTAGGGAGCATTGGCCTTTGTGAGGGGGTAAAACGGGGCCACTATTTCTGCGAACCCCGGTATCCAGAGGCGGCAGAAGCCTACACTCCCTAGGAACTCTCAGCTTCTTAGCGCTAGAGGGCGGGGGTATCAGAGCCAAGGCCTGTTTACTTCCTTCGGTTAGCCATCTCTGGCCCTCCAGTAGAAGATACCCCAAGCAAGGCACTTCTCGCTGGCAGATTTGGGCCTTTTTGGCTGAGGCCCAATATCCCAGCTCTCCCAGTCTTTTTAACAGGACCCCGGTACCTTGGAGGGATCCTTGTTCTGGCTGCCAGGAGATCATCTACATATTCAAGGAGGGTCAGATCTGGATGGTTAACTCGGAAGTCTGCCAGGTCTTGATGCAGAGCCTCATCAAACAAGGCGGGGGAATTTTTGAATCCCTGTGGTAGCCTGGTCCAGGTCAGCTGCCCCGAGAATCCAGACTCTGGATCTTTCCACTCAAAGGCAAAAAGGGTCTGGCTCTGAGGGCTCAATCTCAAGCAGAAAAAGGCATCTTTTAAATCAAGTACGGTGTACCAGACATGTCCTGGAGGCAGGGTGCTGAGCAAATTGTAAGGGTTAGGTACAGTAGAATGAATGTCCTCAGTCCTTTTGTTTACCTCTCTCAGGTCCTGGACGGCCTATAGTCATTGGTGCCAGGTTTCTTGACTGGCAGCAAGGGGGTGATTGGCAGGGCTTCAAAATGCCCAGTTGTAAGAGTCTCTGGATGTGAGGTCTTATACCCTTTTTAGCCTCTTTGGCTATAGGATATTGGCGGATGGACACGGGTGTGTGTGTGTGTGTGTGTGTGTGTGTGTGTGTGTGTGTGTGGCGGTAGGCTTTAAAGTTATCACCAGCGGTGGCTGCTGGGTGGCCAGTCCCATGCCTGCTATTTCTGCCCATGCCAAGGGGTAGTTGGTAAGCCATTTGGGGTCCATTCGGAGGGATTTTGGAGGAGCTCCGTGTAGCCGGTGCTCATCCTCCCATCTCAGGGTCAGTACCTGGAGAGGCTGACCCTTTGGGTTTATAACGGAGACTCCCTTTTCTTGGAAGTGAATTTGGGCTCCTACCTTGGAGAGAAGATCTCTTCCCAGCAGCGGGTATGGACAGTCCGGTACCAGCAAGAATGAATGAGTAACTTTTCCCGTAGATAAGTGGACCTCTCTCTCTGAAGTCCATTTATATAATCTTCCCCCGGTGGCCCCCTGGACCCATGATGTTTTGGAGCTCAGAGGCCCCTTGGTCTGGGTAAGGACTGAATGTTGGGCCCCTGTGTCAACCAGGAACGTCACCGGTTGGCCTCCCACTTTAAGAGTTACCCGGGGCTCAGGGGGAGGCTCCTGTCCCTGACTCACCTAATCTTCTTCCAAGGACAGTACCGGGACAGGCTTGCATGTTTTTGTCTTCTGGACACGGACTGGACATTCCTTGGCCCAGTGTCCCTTTTCTTTGCAATAGGCACATTGGTCCTGTTCCAGTGGCGGCCTCCTCTTGTTTCCCAGGTTCCTATTCTGCCTAGGCTTATTCTGCTCTGTCCCTGAGACTGTGGAGGCCAGGATTCTAGACAATTCTTTATTTTTCTTCCTGTCTCTTAAGTCCTCTCTCTGTTCCTGTTCCCTACGCAGCTTTCCCTCCCTTTGCTCCTGCTCTGTGTAGCCTTTCCTCCTTCTCCTCCAGCATCTCTCTTTTGTTGAAAATCTTTTCAGCTTCTTTTACTAGGTCTGGCAAGGTAAACCCCTGGAGCTCTTCCAGCCGCTGTAGCTTAGTGCAGATGTCGGGGGCCGATTGTCCAATGAAGGACATTATGACCTCGGCCTGCCTGTCAGGCGCCTGGGAGGCGAAGGGAGTATACATGCCGTGTCCCTCCATTAATCTCTCTAGAAACCCTGCCGGAGTTTCCTCTGACCCTTGTACTACAGCACGTACCTTAGCCAAATTGGTGGGGCATCTACCTGCCCCTTTGAGACCCGCCAGGAGAATCTGGCTCTACCAGGAGGGGTGTTGAAGTCTCAGTCAGGGCGAGTCAAGGGGAAGGATGCAGCGCTGTGAGCAGCACCAGCGGGAGTGTGAGTCCCGCTGCAGCTGGATCAGGCGGAGAAGCTGATGGCCCAGGAGCTGCAGCGGCTGCAGGGACAAGCGGAGTGGGAGTGTGCGGATCTGGGGGGTAAGGGTATAAGGGGAGTTTGAGAAGGGGGAAGTGGGGGTCCGGGCCCCAGCGTTGCTGGGGCAGGCGAAGCAGTGAGAAAAGGCTTCACCCAGGCAGGTGGGTCTCTGGCCAAACTCTCCCAGACTGAAATGTAAGGCACTTGATCTGGGTGCCCGTGCGGTCCTTGGTCAAAGACTCAGCTTTTACCTGCGGAATGACATCAACGTTAAAAGTCCTGTCCCCCAGCCAGCCAACCTCAAAGGCCGGCCATTCCGAGGAACAGAAGGTGATCCATTTCTTTTTCTTGACTTCCAGAGAGGCGTTGTGAGCCCGGACAAGGATATCTCTCCAGTTATCTAAGGTCAAATTTAGGGGGGTAGTTAGTTGTTGCCCCATGTGGAGAGGAAAAAAAGGGAGGTAGAGGCAAAGACAGATAAAACACAAAGAGGACAATGACAGACACAGTCTGTGCGGTGGTCGATTCCGAGACAAACTGAAAGTACAGATTCAGATGGGAGTGGCCGCGTACAGCCTCGCTCCCCAGGAAGGAGCAACCCTAGGTCTGTCTCCTTCCTCCTGATCACTCCGGAGGAGACCTCCAAAGCGGGGACCCAGGGACGTCTGAACGCGTCTGCTCCCCACACAGGTCCCAAATACAGGTCCTGCGCACCTGTGCAGGCACAGAATAAAGATGCCAAATCGACCAGACAAAGAATAAGAACACAATAACATAGAACATACATCGAGCTCATTTTTACCTCCAACTGGCAGAATGGGGGCCCTGGGGCACCCCAAAATCTCGGTGGAACCTCCAAATGATAGACCCCAGACCCAGGGTACTACCTTCTCAGGTGGGCGCCCGAAGAACCCAGACTCTGGTCCAGTTGATGCAAACAGCAAGAGGTTTATTGATGCGGCTGTACAGTCGGGCTCCTCTTGTCCTGAGAGCAAGAGTTGCGCCTACTGCAGCCACATAAGTACTTTTAAAGGAAAAAAATCCTCAAAAGCCATAAGATTACAATTTCCATACAATTTCGTTTCGATTGATTTATGTCTAGAGGCTAATTTCACAAGATCATGGCCTGATCACAGGGTGGGTACAATCACATCCGCATGCACATTCTTTCTGAAACCTCAAGCGGGGTATCAGGGTAGGAGTGAAGTTTACACAAAGGTTACAGTGGTCTTTCTGGAACACTTGCAATTATCCCAGTCACAGTTGAGCGCATCTCATCTCTTAACAGAGATAGATCTCTTTACATTGTTACATTGTTGCAGGGGTGGTTGAGTAAAGGCTGAGTCAGTTTTCCCTTGGAACTAGCTTTTTAGTTCCTCATTCTCCTGGGGCTTGGGGGTGTGTAAGCCTGAAGGGTTAGGGTCTTTCACTTTCACAGTGTCCCATAAGTTTGTGTATGTAATACATTCACTTGCATTGTGTTCTAGGAAGTCTTTAATTTCTTTCTTTATTTCTTCCTTGACCCAGTAGTCATTCAGTAGAGAGTTGTTAAGTTTCCAGCAATTTGTAGGATATCTGTTGTTGCTGAAATTCGACTTTAATTTGTTGTGGTCTGATAGGATGAGAGGTAGTTATTTCAGTTTTCTTGTATCTGTTGAGACTTGCTTTGTAACTTAGTATGTGGTCAATTTTGGAGAAGGTTTCACGAAGTGCTGAGAAGAAGGTATAGTGAATTTCATTTTCAAATCGTATATCAACACTGTATTTCATTAAATTGTCTGTGTTGTCTTAGAAAATAGTTGTATCTGCTTTGAGTCATTTGATCACACTTATAAACCTTCTTTTGACTTCTGCACCAGATATTTCATTAAAGTCATTCCCTCCAGAGGTCTTGCTATGGTGCTGGTAATTTTGGGAGGAAAAACCCATTTTGTTTTTGCATGTTACTTGTGTTATTTCATTGAGATCTCCCCAATCTCAATTTCTGTTGTTATTCTTGTTAGGTTGCCTTGTTTTCAACGTCTGTGTTTGCAGTGTTCAGGAGGCAGACTAGGTTGTATACATTTGTGGTCATGCTTTCATGTATTAAACTGGTGCTCAAGGCACCAGACCCTAAATCTAGTCTGTTCTTGTTGCTGAGCACTGTTTGCAGCAACAGTCCCTATCCAGCAGTTAACCCACTCTAATAACTGACTAGCACACGACTATAAACCAGACACTTGTGCAGTACTGATTAGCTTAGGGAGCAAGGCAAGAGGATGCTGATGGTGCTGTGTGCAATGATATACTGGTTATTTTGTCATGCGTGGACAGGAAAATAAAAGAAAAAGAAGCATTCTCAGTGAGACTGGCAAGTAGTATTATTTGTTGGATGGGGTGTAGAGGAGAACTGAGAATTACTGAGGCAAAGTAAAAAAAAAATGGGGGGTGGTGAAATTTGTGGGAGTTTGGTTAGTGATATACTAAAAACAGGGTATGAATAGGTACTCAGATATCATAAACCAGGCCAGCCTCTGGTCTTTTATTGGAGGTGTAACAGTAAAAGGAGTGGGTATAGAAAAAAGTCAGGAAGGAAAACAATGAAAAACAAGGAGAGCAAATTTTAAATGATGTTAACAGTAGGGGGCAGTATTGGTCTTCTACACTGACTTCCTGCACTATATCGATAATACATATTTGGTGAACAGAGAGGTGGGTGAAGTGTAAGATAATAAAATGACTGAAATGACTGGCAGATAAATAATAGCTGTAGTGGGGAAAGAGCAGTGGGGATATAAGGAAATGTGATCATTTGAATCTCATTTTGTCTCTTCGGTCTGTTCCTTCATCTCTCTGGTCCTGGTTTGAGCTATTCTCTGTACTGACTTTCACTAGTCCAGCTTCCCCTGCATGTAGACTTTCCTTGACAGCTCTGCTCTGTCAGCTGTAGATAGCCAGTACAAACTCTGTCCTAATGCAGTCTCTGAATTCCCACAGGGTTGGAGGAGTGGGAAGTTGTGTGGGGCCCAAACCACAGTTTAGAGCTCCTGCTTAGCTTATGCAGTGATGCCTTTCTCCACTGGGGTGCTGAAGGTAGCCCTGGCTGAAGTTCCTGGGAAGCCCCTTAATCAAATTCCTTCTGGAAGAGCTATTACAGATTTTTTCTGGTAGGATTGTGCCAGAAACTGATGCTATGGTAGGTGTTGCTTTGTTGGCACTTGGAGCAGGAAGTCCTGTCTCATGATAGAGGAAGCTCATGGGTCTGATGGCAGAAGAGGTTTGTTGGGTCCATGATCAAGTCAATTTGAAGACTGAAGAAGTAGCTGTGGGAGTGATGAGATAGTTTTTATATAAAGTTAAATGTCTTTAATTCTTTGAAATTTTCATGCAATGTATTTTGAACATATTAATCCCCCAACTCCTCCCAGATCACTCTACCTCTTTACCTACCCACCGTCATGTTTTCCTCCCTCCCTCCTTCCCACTATCTCTCCCTCCTTCCCACCATTTCTTCCTTCTTCCCTCCCTCTCTTCCTCCTCCCCCTCCCTGCTTCCCTTCCTACCTTCCATCCTCCTTTCCTCATCAGTTTTGCACATCTGGTTTGTGACGGAAAAGTCTCTCAGGTGTGGGTCCTGCCCTGGAATGTGGTCAGTACAACAGAAGTCAAATTATTCCTATTGCAGATAATATGATATTATGCACAAGATGTTCCAAAACTGCCACCAGAAAATTTCTAGAAACAACCATTTCAGCAAAGTGTCAGGATACAAAATCAACTTTTAAACATCAGTAGGTGTTCTGTACAGCACCAAAAAACACGCAGAGAAAGAGATCATGGAGACATGCCCATCTTCTACAATTTAAATAATTCTTCCTTTGAACATCAATTTGTTCTCATAATGCTTTGTTAAGGCTTTGTTTGTTCTTTTAACCTTACATGTACTTTTTGTATATATTGTAGTTTTTGGTTTTGTGTTTTCTGGGATTTCTGTGTGTGAGAATGTGTGTGTGTGTGTGTGTGTGTGTGTGTGTGTGTGTGTGTGTGTCCCTAGATGTTTCTTGAGCTGTTTCTTTTTCTCTTTTTCTCTGTTTCTTCATTTGTTCTTGCTATAATCTGCAGGAAAATGTAATGGAATTCAGCTACTCTCACAAAATGTACTACTTGGAAAGGTTAAGGACTTTTCCAAAGGTCAAACCAAGACTTAAGAAGTCTTGTTGATATTTTAGCTTTTGTATATATATTAGTCGATTCCTGAAATGGTTTTCTTGTATGCTATCTGTGCTTCCAAGAACTCCTAACAGTGTATTTATCTAAAACATCTATCAAGCACCCAAGGCCAAACAATCTCCTGAACCAAGGTAACACCCTTACAGAAACAACACCTGTCTCACCTGTCTCCTAGGTCAGGCTAATGGCTTTATTTCTTATGCTATTTAAGCTGAGATCCTCCTTTCTTATACAGCCTAACTAACATTTTAGGCTCCTAACATTTTTACCTAATCACTTCTAGGAATGTAGTTTGAGCACATAAATTCTGTTTTTCTGATGTATTAACCATTTCAGCTCTCAGTTGACCTCCTCCTTTACAACTCCCTTTTTTTGGTTGTAGAAGAAAGCCTGAGGGTGACTACCTGAGGAAAACTCTTGTTTGCCTTTATGACCCTGCTGTGGTATTGTATTCTCCCAAATATTGTGCATGCTAATAAACTTATCTTGGGTCAGAGACAGAACAGCCATAATATTAAACATAATGGATAGGCAGTGGTAGCACACGCATTTAATCTTAGCATTCCAGAGGCAGAAATCCATGTATTCAAGGATACAGCCAGGCATGGTGACTCATCATGCCTTTAATCCCAGAAATTGAGCCTTTAATCCCAGCCAGTGGTGGTAGAAAGCAGAAAGGTATATAAGGCACGAGTACCAGAAACTATAAGCATTTGGCCTGGTTAAGCATTTGGCTGGTTAAGCGTTCAGGCTTCTAGCAACAGAGTTCAGCTGAGACCCATTCTGGATGAGGACTCAGCGGCCTCCAGTCTGAGGAAACAAGACTGGCTGAGGATCCGGCGAGGTGAGGTAGCTGTGGCTTGTTCTGGTTCTCTGATCTTCCAGTTCACCCCAAAAACTGGCTCAGGTTTGATTTATTAATAAAAACTTTTTTTTTTTTTTTTTTTGGTTTTCCGAGACAGGGTTTCTCTGTGTAGTTTTGAGCCTTTCCTGTAACTCGCTTTGGAGACCAGGCCTGCCTCTGCCTCCCAAGTGCTGGGACTAAAGGCATGCGCCACCACCGCCCGGCTATTAATAAGAACTTTTAAGGTTCCTGCTACACCCTGTAGTACATCAAGCCTGGTGACCTTGCTCTGCCAGAGGATTGCTATTGCTTAGGTTTATAACTAAATACCTGAGAGACTTAGAGAGAACTAAGATGTATAAGGAGACTTAGAGGAGGATTTTGACTAGAGAACCTGAGGACGAGATGGAAGATGAGGAAAAGCCAGATGGGGAAGTACTAGATGGGTAAGAATGACATGAGAAGGACATAGGTGAGGCAGAATTAAGATGAGAGAATTAAGATAGAACTTAGAGGGGACAGCAGATAAATATAGAGAGAAATTAGGCAAGAAAGGAGCTAGGCATGAGAACAGAACTGAGGCTGTGTAGATGGGATTTTATCCCAGAGGAAGAAAGTAGATGGATAAAGAGCTTGGTGAACTTAGATTCATTTCCTGAAAATAATTCTTGTTATTTGTAGCTTCTTTTCTGGGATGGTGGGAAGAATATTATAAGGCAGGTCCTTAATAATGTTTGAAATGTTTTGTCCTATTCTGTTATTCGGTTGTGTTTTATCTAATTTTATTTTATTAACATTATTTTTTAGTTGCCTGTTTGTATCCTAATGAGAGAGAGAAAGAAAGGATGTGGATTTAATTGGGTGGGGGAATTGGGGAGGATCTATGATGAGGGGAAGTTATAATCAGAATATATTGTATTAAAATTTTATTTTCAGTTTAAAAAAAATCAAGATTACCCCCAAACTAAGAGATAGAAATGCATTTCTCAGTCTTATATCTTTATATTCATTAAAACAATGGTCTATTTTTAATGTTCTAGATTTAATGAAGAATAGACTCTTAGAGTTTATTTCCCCAAGTACTCAGGAAAAAGAAAGCACTTGAAAAGCACAGCAGCAGGAAAGTATGTGTCAGGACAGGCACAGTGAGAATCTGACGGGAGCCATAAGCCTAAGTGACCCTTGATACACAGGCCGCCATATTTGGGCTTCTCTCCTCTTTTCCTAGATCTAGGCCTTGCTTAAGTCTCCATAGCACCAGAACCTCTTCTCAGAAATACCAGAACCTCTTCTCAGAAATCAGGTGACCAAGCTGCAGTTAGGCAGTTAGGCAAGAATAGATGATAATCCCCAGAGCAACATTCAGTGCTGGCTGAACAAGCCATGATTAAAGTCCCCTCCTTGATTGCAACCCGCTTTGCCCCCGCCTATATATGCCTTAAGAGGAAAATAAAATTTTGGAGCTTGATCAGAGACATCCTGTCTTGCTCTCATTCTTTGTTTCTCCTGTCCCTCTCATTTGACAGCGCTCCCTTTAGGTCCCCATTGAAGGCTCTGCTGGCCAGGGCAAGAATCCATTCCCAGTATTTATAGTTGCAGAAAAGTTGAAAAGAAGTAATTAATAAGCCTTAACAGGGCAACTTTCTGTTAGTTTTTTGGCTGCGTTGTGTTCTTACCCTGCAAGGAAATGCCACGAAACACGACAGAATCCGCTAACAAGAGTTTTATTAAAGGTAAAGGGACAGAGAGTGAACAGGCCTGCGGGAAACACGTGTGTGGAGAAGAAGGAAGAAGAAGAAGAAGAAGGAACCAGGAACATGGCGCAGGATTTTAAAGGCTGGGCGTGGACAGATCAACGTCACTACTACACGCAAGCGCGTAGATCACATGGCCACATTGCGCGCCTACGTGGCTAGTGGAACGTCACGGATCTTGGTCACGCGAGATGCCCTGACCCGGAAATGGCTATCCTGACCTAGAACTGGCTAGGTGGAAGTGTCTGTTGGGCATATGCGAACACGCCCGACCATGGGGGCTTGTTGTAAACCTTTCACTTTCCCCTCAGCCTGTGCTCTCTTTTGCTCTGTACTTTTGAATTCTGTTTTGGGGAAGCTTCCTTAAACCAGGCTGTTGATGAGACTCACCTGGGAGCATTTGCCCATGCAATGTTTGGGTTTTCTCTTAACTATGAATTCACTGCTTTGACAGCAAGACAATGTCTTTACTATTGTTAGAACATTTGCATTATTCTACCATATATTTACTTTTAAAAAATTAATAACTGATGCCCATGTCTAAATGTCATTGTCAACTCACTTTTCCTCATTGATTCTCTTTCCCTCTTACAATTAGTTCATTTGAAAAGATTTATGTATCTTCCCTTTTCTAAAATAAATGAGCACTTTCATTCTTTTAGTACTTATAAATTCATGAGGACAACTTGTTCCTCTGTTCTCTGGCCAAGAAAAGATCTACTGAGAAGGATTTGATAGGCTTCACTCATGACCTGCTTTACAGCTTCCAGGAAGAATGCAGGATGCCTTCTTGTCTTATCTGCCCTGAGCAATCCTCTTAGTCCATAGAACTCATTGATCATAGATGAACTGGAGACTTCACTGGAAGGCTTTGAGTGAGGAAATAAAAGAGAACATTGGAATTAACAAAACAGCCACAATCTCTGACCTGTCGTCCTTAACCCAAATATCTCTCTGTGTGAAGTAGGTCAAGTGGGGCTCCCAGTGAGACATCCTTGTGTGAGGTCTTCTCCAGGTTAGTGTCCTTCCTAAAATAATGACATTGGAGGCTTTTTTTTTTATAAGTACAGAGTTAAATGCCTCCTTTTCCTCCCCTGCTCTCTTTTTCTCAGATACACACACACACAGACACACTAGCAGATTTCCTCTGCTAGTATTTTCCCACTTTGTTCTCTCTCTCTCTCTCTCTCTCTCTCTCTCTCTCTCTCTCTCTCTCTCTCTCTCTCTCTCCCTCTCTCTCCCTCTCTGTTTGTTTCTGTCTCTATATATCTATTTTTAATCTTTGGGTAATCTGTGATTATATTTTTTGACCTTGTTAAATGGTAGTTTAGAAACAGATAAAAAAGAATATTCTCTTAATTAGGAATCTGGGTGGATGGAACTGTTTCTTCAAAATCAAGAAACTCTGTCAGACTGATCCCTTGTTGTTTTTATTTGCTATCCAAGGTACCGTGTTTACCTACATTCCAAAGATTTCTTGTATATCTTTCATAAAATGTTGGTCTTCTCAAGAGTTATGTACATCACCTTGTCATTTCTTCTTTTTTCTGGTGAGTTCATTTTCCTGTCCTTAGGCATATTCTAAAAATTTCAGGGAGATAAGTATCTGAAAAACCACAAAAGAATGAATGAGCTTGTCTTATTTGTGTTGCAGTCCTTAAATGGCCTTGTTATAAATATTTCTAAAATTACAGTTGTGGATTGCTTTTCTAACTAGTCCACACTGGAGAAGGCTACAGAGAGCAGAGGATTAGCAGAGGCTGTGTAGATTTTCAGTCTCTGCTACTACTATTCCAGATTGCTAACTAAAT